GGGCCGGGGGGCGACATATACTGCCTATAGGGGGCTGGGGTCCATATACACCTATCAGGGGCTGGACAGTCAGGGGCAACATATACCCCTATAGGGGGCTGGGGGCCATGGACCCCTATAGAGGGCTGGGGCCTGGGGTCCATATACACCTTATATGGGGCCAGGGGCCCAGGGGCGACATATACTGCCTGTAGGGGGCTGGGGTCCATGTACCCCTATAGGGGGTTGGGGTCCATGTACCCCTATAGGGGGTTGGCAGCCGGGGTCCATATACACCTATATGGGTCTGGGGGCCTGGGGGTGACATATACTGCCTATAGGGGGCTGGGGTCCATGTACTCCTATAGGGGGCTGGGGCCCAGGGTCCATATACACCTATAGGGGGCTGGACAGCCAGGGGCGACATATACCCCTACAGGGGGCTGGGGGCCATGGACCCCTATATGGGGCTGGGGGCCTGGGGGCGACATATACTGCCTATATGGGACTGGGGCCCGGGGTCCGTATACACCTATAGGGGGCTGGACAGCCAGGGTGACATATACCCCTATAGAGGGCTGGGGGCCCAGGGGTGACATACACTGCCTCTATGGGGCTGGGGGCCAAGGCATCCATATACTCCTATAGGTGGCTGGGGGACAGGGGTTCCATATACCCCTATATAGGGCTGGGGGTCCATATACCTCTATAGGGGGCTGGGGGCCCAGGTTATCCTTCTACGGCACTGTTGGCCAGGGGTCCCTATATCCCTATATGGGGCCAGACAGCCAGGGGGTCCGTATACCCCGACATGGGTCTGGGGGTCCGGGTTATCCCTATATGGGGCTGGGCAGCCAGCAGAGATATATACTCCCTATACAGGGCTGGGGAGCCGGGGTTATTGCTATACTGGGCTGGACAGCCAGGGGCAGCATATACCCTCTATACAGGGCTGGGGACCTGGGGGTTGTCCCTATACAGAGCTGGACAGCCACGGGTTATATACACGCCCTATAGAGAGCTGGGGATCCAGGGGTTACCCCTATACAAAACTGGACTCCCGGGGATTACATATACCTCCTACATGGGGCTGAACAGCCAGGGGCAACATATAGCCCCTATACAGAGCTGGGGACTTGGAGGTTATATATACCTCCTATACAGGACTGGGGACCCGGGGTTATCCCTATACAGGGCTGGACTCCCAGGGGCAACATACACTGCCTATACAGGGCTGGGGGTCACCCCTATACAGCGCTGGACTCCCAGGGGTTACCTATAGCCCCAATACAGGGCTGGACAGCCAGGGGTTATATACGCTTCCCATATCCAGCTGGGGACCCAGGGCTTATATACATCCCTATACAGAACTGGACATCCAAGTGCTATATACCCCCTATAGAGTTGGAGAGCCCTTATACGGGGCAGGATGCCCAGGAGTTACCCCTATAGAGAGCAGGATGCCCAGGGGTTATATATAGCCCCTATACATCCACAGGTATCCAGCATTTAATTACTCCCTCTATAGAGCTGGATACCCAGGGTTACATACAGCCCCTATATAGAGCTGGGCACCCAGGCGTTACATACATCCCTATACAGAGGTAGAAATCCAGCTGTTACTATACCTCCCCTACTGGGATATATATATATATACAAGGCACCCAGGCCTTATACATCCCCTTTGGACTCTGGGCGTTATCTATACCCTTATGGAGAGCAGGACACCAGGAGTTACCCCTATACAGACCAGCACTCCCAGGGGTTATATATAGCCCCTGTACAGAGCTGGGCCCCTGTGACTTATATATATATATCCCTATAGAGAGGTGGACACCCAGGGGTTATATATACCCTTATATGGAGCAGGACATCCAGGAGTTGCATATACCCCCTATATAAAGCTCCTTATACAGAGCAAGACACCCAGGGGCTATATATACCCTTATATGGGAGCGGGACATCCAGGTGGGGTATATACCCCCTATATAAGGCTCCTTATACAGAGCAAGACACCCAGGGGCTATATATATATACCCTTATACGCAGCGGGTCATCCAGGAGTTGTATATACCCCTATACAGAGCCAGACACCGGGGTTATATGCACCCCTATATAGAGCTGGTACCCAGGACTTTTATACGCCCCCCGTACAGCCGCGGACGCCCCGGGGTGGCCCGTCCAGCCCCCCTATACAGCACGGACACCCGGGGCTCCGCAGCCCCCTATATCCAGCGGTTAATGCCCCCTACCCGGGGTTACGCATCCCCCCACGCACGCCCTATAGCATCCATACCACCCCGCGTCTCCAACCCCGGGGCCAGCGACACCCCCTCCCC